TATATATATATATATATATAGGTTTGCTTTATTTTCAGCGTACATTATCCGCCTTAGCGCTTAGGAAAATTGACTCTGAATTCGATTAATTATATCTCACGTTCATCGGAGTGGAGTTTTGATTATAATTATTGTATACGTTGCTGTACACTTTAAGGACTCGCATAAACGCGAAGCTCCTTCGCAAAAGGTGTAATAATTGCTTTTATATTGGAATAATTGTACAAAGCGTTAAGACATGTATTATAAATAGAAAGTAATATAGCCTGTAAATACAATAATCACGAACAAAACTGTTTACAAGCCCAAGTGGAATAAGAATAAATTATAATTTATATTTATTTAGATATATAATTCTTTGTTAACTCGGGTGTTGCCAAACTCGTGTGTATGTACTCAACGGCGAACTCGCATAGGACTAGACTCTGCTTTTCTCCGTGAAATAGTCGATGATAAAAAACTTTTGTATCATAGTTGTTCATCTGTGTAATTTTTATTGTTTGTAGTCGAATCGTTCGATCCGTAAGTCGTATGTACAAATATTATTCAAAGATTACATTTTCTTTCTTTTTTTAAACAATTGGCAGTTGTTATTTATTATTTCAACATTATAATTTGTTATTCCTCTTTTGGCGAGAAAGTTACAGCTCGCGAGAGGATTTATGGAGAAACTGAGTAAGTAAAATATTTTATATCAATTATCATGTATTGTAGACATTTGCATCGTCTACGTGCAAACGTATATCCTTGGACGTATATCCTTTAGAGTCCATCCAATTTCCTTGGCTGCAGAAATTTGTCGTTTTGGTGATCATTACCATTGCTATTAAAACTAAAATAATAATTTCAATGAGAGAAAGAACCAAAAGATGGTTAATATTTTTCACAATCCTAAATGTAAGAAATGTTTTTTATGCTAGGAAATGTAGAGTAATCCCTTATTTAAAGCAATATTCGTTTCTTTCTCATCCCGTTCGGGTTTGAACGTCACCTACTTTTGTATCTCTGTAAAGTCAGCAGCTCATCTGTGTCCAATAAATTTTGCCGCGAATATAAATCGTAGCGAAGCATGTTAGAACAGAAGAGCGAAAACTGTAAGTAAGAGAGAATTAATTTTCTTGTACTTTTGACTCGATGTGGGAACCGTGACATATCTCTCTCTCTCTCTCTCTCTCTCTCTCTCTCTCTCTCTCTCTCCGACACGCTAAATGCTTTGTAATATTAAACTACCTCGATAAAGTATTCAAAGATAAAATAAAAAAAAGATGTCAGAAAAAAAAAAAAAAAAAAAAAAAGAACGATGCTCATAAAAAGGCGAAGAGATACTATGAAGATCTTAATGAAGTCTGTCGTCGTCCTCAGCTTTATTAGCGTAACAAAAAAAGCCAATTTCTCATATTTTACGTACGAAAAGTAACAGAGGCGAATCTACTAAATATTTGTCATCCTTATATTAGGACTCTCTTCTTATGATCCGACCTCGTTAATACTCTCCTCTCTTATGTACATATAATCTCTTCTCTCGTGGACAAATTTAATTTTGTCGTTTCACAAAATTTTGCTTTTTATCGACGATGTACCGTAGTTCCGTAAATAAAGATGCGAGCATGAATAATCGAATGTGTAACTTACATAAAATTAATATCGTAGCATTAATGATAAATAAGAATATTACTCGTAAAACGATCGATTTCTTATATTCTAAAGAACATTAATGGAGCATGAAAATTGTCGCTCGTATAAAAGAATAAAGACGTCTCGAATAAAAGTGCAGATAATATACGGCAGGGGAACCGACTAGGGGCGAGCAGGGGCGGGGGTGAGGGAGGGGTTGGGGGATCGCGCACAATATTTCACGCGTGTACGCGACCTTCAGCGATCTTGCAGTGCCAAGTCATTATGTTCCGTTCCATGAGATCCACTTTACTCCGCTTTCATTGAATTTATTTGCCGAGCCGCACAAATACATGCACACGCAAACTTTATAGGCGCGCGATTAAAAGAGCGGCACTCCAAAGCTTCCGTGAGACAAATGATTTTTTTATTAATGTCGACATGAAGATTCTCGACGTTACGGTTAGACTAGCCAAGTCGAGTCAAATGACGTAATACTCAATAATTTATTTCGTAAGTTAAGAGCTTTTATTAAATAAATATATAAAAATTTATATACGGTAAAAGTGTTTTTTTTTTTTTTTTTTTTTTTTGTTCTTTTTATCATTTAATGCAATACGAACGTTGCGAATTATTGTTACGAGTCGTCAAGTTAATTTAGTAATATTAGTCAACATTGCTTGATTGAAAATGCAATAGTTCATCGTTCATCATAATATTCGCGTAGAATAAATTTCTATAACGAATTCGAAATAGCAATCCATACGATGTGAGTGGTAGCTTAATAGGAATGTCGTTTGATATTTAAATGTTTATTAATTCTTAATTGATTTAGCTAAGGTTGGCTAATGCTTTTCGTTGGTCATAAAACAAATTCTCTTAATTAAAAGATTCTGCAAATATTGCAATGCGGTGCTATTTAACAATTGAAATCGCATTCCCAACAATCTTATCGTACAATTTTTCATACAATTTAGCTCGACGCGCACGACATTTATCACAGCACATTATATCAGCGCACAGCCCATCCAAAGCTCTTGAATTTCATTTCCTAAAAAGTCGGGATTCTACGGGCAAAAGTACGAGAGAAATTCCCATCTTAATTACCGACTCGCTGTTTTGTGAGATGAGAGAATAAAAAAAAAAAAAAAAAAAATGGGATTTCAGCAGCTTTAAAAGGTAGACTAGATTCAATGACTCACGCTGAAAGAAAAAGAAAAAGAGATGAAGGGTATAAGGGGAAGTGAGTGGACATTATATTTAATATTGTCGATAACTTTATATAAAATGATAAGAAATTCAAGGTATAAAATGCAAGCTGCCGAGCCTTGATAAGTAAGAGCTTTCCGTAAGGCTTTGTTACTCCAGCGAAGAATAGCATGACGTCGCCTCTCGTCCCAATAAGTATCGACGTGTCACAATGTCCCGACGCTCGCTCACCATTACCACGGCGAATATCCGGCGAAGAAAGTTTATTGCATAATTCTCTTAGAGTGCGCGAAACGCGAATGGGCAGAGAGACGGCCGCAAAGGCTGTGGAGATCAAGCGC